AACAACATTAGTTACACTGAAGAATGCTCACCGTGTCACTCAGCGCGCCATGCTTACCATGGAAAGAGAGGGAAAGCAACGCCATGCAGACGAGCAGGTCGGTTTCATCATCATAAAACGCGACAATAACAAGCCAGATGCCTATGGCGAGTCGTCTGAAACATACGGCCCACTGCCGTGGCCGGGGGTCGCCGAAGCATACAACAAAAAGTATGACATGTCTGTCGGTCCAGCGGCAATGGAGAAGCGCGCGCGACAACATCGAGCCGCTTGGTTAGCCAAACATCCTAGTTATCCCCTCAAGATAATGTACGCAAAGAAACCAAAAACACAAGCCATTCGGCGCTCGAAGGTTGCCGCCCTACACGCTCAAGCTCCTTGCGTGCAAGCCTACACCAGCAACCAAAAGGTTCGTGGTCCTACTGAGGTCTCTCATGCTGACAGACCGCAGATGCGTGTGGACAAGGGCGAAGGTTCCATCTCCAATGAACGCATCGCCGGATGGATGCCTCCAGATGCCATTCGAAATCGAGCAGACGTACATAACTACATAGACGACCTAATGTCGGCACACGTCGAAAAGGTTGTACTAGAGGTACATGACGCACATGACTCACCATCTGAAGTTGTTATCGGCGACCTCGAATACCTTGGTAGCAGCTCCGTGGTGCTTCAGCAATTAATGGCTGCCGACAGCGAGACGACAGTACAGGTTGAATGCTCATCCCTAGAGGTCGTTCAGTGGTACGTACAATGCAGCTCAGCCGGATGTTTGACGAAAGCGCCGGCAGATCCCCATCACGGGAACGGCTCACTCATGGACCTGTACTGCTTGGCTGCACAGCTTCAAGACGACGACGTGTGCGGGCTGATATTGACGCTGTGGCGTAGTCTTGCGGAAAAGAACGTCGAGATGGATTTAAGTGTCGAAGGCATGAACTTGCTCTTCGAAACCACTCGCTACGAGGATCCAGCCCGCGGATTTTGGGTTGATATCGCCCATAGAGCGAAAATAGCTCCTGAACTTATTAAGATGGGTGGCTGCAATGCGGAACTGATTGCTGCAATCCAGAGCAAAGGACCATGAGTATTTAGTTGAGTTTGGCGGGACGTTTTGGCCGGCGAGTCGCCACGACGATAAATGTCTAAGCCTGGTGGGTTGAGATTATATATACGCACGGGTTGATACATAATCTTGGAATAGTCGATGTAGTTCGATGCAATTTAAGGATGTATCCATCGACTATTAGTCTTAATCGCTTTGTTGTATCTAGATAGCCCCATAACGCTTGATCCCAGTCCTCGGCGGTGCCGGATCTAATGCGCCGTCTCGTTTACAAGCGCGTTAAACATGTCCATTTTGACGCAGTGTTTTTGGGCTTGACTCAGAAAAGCCACCCGGTGACCTGAACAAGATGTGTCCGGAACAAAGTCCAAAGATATCGTAAGGATCTAAAGAGAAACGTCAAGCGCTGTGATTAGTATTAGCAATCGACGAGGAGAGAAACGGCCCGCATTACCGATGACCACAACCTGATAATTAGACCTCCCCGTTTTGTACCTAGGTTGGATCAATACTCACCCACCGCACGCCATACGCCACATCCTAACCCAGCAGTTGAGATTCATCTCAGGGCGGACTGCAACTCAAGCTAGAATAGCCAAGCCTTCGTAACGTAATCTTCTTCTTTTGCTGGCATGCTAACCAAAGTAGCCCCGGAGTTCATGATCTTAGCCTCTCCACACACAGAGCGTATGCTTCTTACCGTAGTAGAGCTTTCGTGAAACCGTTGGTTTAAGGTGTTGTTGACCTGACCGAAGCTGGCACGGAGACAGGCTCTCCGTAGCGCCTGTCCGCATTAGTCGTAACCTCGGGAACGCCACAGTAGCGCCGTCGCTTACGGCTGGGCAACCGAGTGATGGGGGCTCCTCCGCTGCACCACGACATCCTCACCCCATCACTCGTCCATAACGCGCCAATGTGCATACACCTAGCTCTCATCTAATCGAATTTTGCTTGAGACCTTATGGCATGCAACGAGGCGCTTCCAGCCCACTGTCATGCAGAATCAAGCGTCAGCAACCGCCCTAGGCCATGTGCTGTGCCATGCGCTTGCGCTCGCGCCAATCCTCGACATCGGAGCTCATTCGCGGATAAAACCGCTACTATCAAGACAAGCCTTCCTATCACCTGGGGTGACCTCCTGCGCCAGTCTTCACTGCCTCATCCAGCATGATCCTGCTGATAGTTTTATGCTGGGCTCGCCCAGCGCCGCACGGGCGATCTACATTCCAGCTAGTGTTGGCCATTGTCTGCTGATTTTGAAGGATTGCCCTTCTATTTTCTAGACCAGAAGCATACGCGGGGATAGGCGATCTGTCCCCAATACTGTTGCGAGCTGGAGAAGCCCTGTCGAGACCGGCGAAATGGGATACCTTGATATGACAAGGATATGTCCCGGGTTTGCGAGCACCAGGAGATTCCCCGCGTTCTACTGTTTCGCTATCAGGGACCTTGTCGGCGTACTGGGATCGTCTTGGCCTAGTGGCAGCTGTCGTGCAGCAATCAACACGATTGCCCACGGTTCATGATTCCGATAGTTATGCCTCTCGATACTACACTTCTCCCAAGTTTGTGGCGCCTGCGCTTGAACGGGACGGTTGAGGCTTGTTCGAGATCCTGGAGCCGCTTCCCGATTAGGATGCGGACCAGAGCCTTCCGTGTTCATTTAGCTCGGGAACGTGTTTCCAGGACTGCGAGTCCGACAGCACGCCGCTGGGATGCAGCATTAGCCGGACATTGCGGGCCATAGCCCGGCAGTCTGGTCTTTGAGGTCCTTCCCTTGTGCATATCCGAATTTGTTTAATAGTCCAGCTGTTTCCCAGACGTATTCCACACAGCTCATCTGGAGTGTCTCCACCAAAGCAATGTCGGACATCAAAGAGTCGTATGCTACGACGACCTCAGAGAATGGCGTAAGCATCATGTTCAAACTACGAGCCGTTGACTATACTTACACCTACCAGGACCACAAAGGTGCTGTGGCTGACGTTGCCATCATCTCTGGCTCTGAAGCCATAGCAGAAGCCAAGCTGAAGGAGCCTGTTCAACGTTTCTCCAGCTCTGCGATGCTGCTCTACGTCTGTGCATTTGTGGGATTCTTTTGCTCGACATGCAACGGGTTCGACGGATCCATGTTCAACTCGCTCCTCACCAACAACACCTTCAAGGAGTACTACAACGTCGAGAGTACTGGAGCTTGGGCTGGTATCGTCACCTCCATGTACCAGATTGGTGGTGTTGTTGCCCTTCCCTTTATCGGCCCCGCCTGCGACACTTGGGGTCGTCGCATTGGTATGATGATTGGCGGAGTTCTTGGCTGCACTGGTGTCATCATCCAGTCCACTGCTCCTGCGTCCAACCCTGTCGGCCAATGTAAGCAACGCCCACGTACGATGTGTCGATGAAATTTATGCTGATTTTGCGTTCCTCTTCAGTCATGGGTGGTCGTTTCCTCCTCGGCTTCGCAGTCCCAATCATGACAACCGCTGGTCCGCTTCATGTCATCGAGACTGCGCACCCAGCTCACCGTGGTATCATCACTGGTCTTTACAATACCTTCTGGTTCGTCGGATCACTTCTCGCTGCCGGTGTCACACGTGGGTCCGCCAATCTCGCCGGCAACCAATCATGGAGGATTCCCGTCTGGCTTCAGATGCTCTTCCCAGCCTTACTCGTTATACTGCCTCTTCTTCTTCCAGAGAGCCCTCGCTGGCTGTACACCCGCGGCAAACATACCCAGGCTAAGAAGACTCTCGCCAAGTACCATGGTTGCGGCAACGAGGACAGCATCTGGGTTTCCATGCAGATTCGCGAGTATGAGGAGTATCTCAACATGGACGGAGGTGATAAGCGCTGGTGGGACTACGGCTCTCTCTTCAAGACTCGTCCTGCGCGCTACCGCCTCGCTTGCAACTGCATAGTCGCGATCTTCGGTCAATGGGCAGGCAATGGGTAAGTCTACTAGACTAGTACAAGAAACGAGGTCACTAACCGTGTGTTAAACAGTGCTGTCGACTACTTCATTTCTGGTGTTCTTGAATCTGCAGGCGTCACGGACGAGATCAAGAAGATGAACATCAACTTAGGAAAAAGCTGTATGCAGCTTGCATTTGTAAGTGTATTTACAGAAACGCTATATGTGCGACGACTGATTCTTGGCACCTAGGCTGTCGTGGGAGCTCTCTGCGTCGACAAGCTGGGTCGACGACCCATGTTGATAGGTACTTTCTCGACCGTCACCGTGATTTGGGCCGGAGCCATCGGCGCTGTTTCTTACCAGAACAAGACCGGAAGCATCCCTGCTGGTAATGCCTTCGTAGCATTGGTCTTCCTCTTCAACGCCGTCTTTGCCTTCGGTATTACTCCGCTCCAGGCCCTGTACCCCGTTGAGGTGCTCTCATTCGAGATGCGCGCCAAGGGTATGGCCTTTTCCAACTTGGCGCTTACCACAGCCATGTTGATCAATCAATTCGCCTATCCTATTGCTCTAGAGAAGATTGGCTGGAAGTTGTACATCGTCTTCGCCTGCTGGTGCCCGGTTCAGGCTTTCGTCGTCTGGCTCTTCATTCCGGAGACCAAGAACCGCACGCTCGAGGAGATCGATGACATTTTCAACGCGCCAAACCCGAGGAACGCTTCTCTTGTCAAGAAGAGGCTCGCCACCGACGCGCAAGGCAACGTTCTTGAGGTCGAGAAGCTGTAAGCTTCTCATCAGCAAATGGTGTACATGTCGCGCTCTCCGGTGTACATGCACATGTTGTTACTGCTTTAGTAGTCAAATTTGCAATGTCCATTAATCAGATTGATATATCTACCGCTCGCTGCGAAATGGCTGATCTTCAGAAGCTTTGTCAATAAGCATAACAATCTATACCAGAACGCACGAAAATGAACAATTGGGATACACTCATTTGGAAGACTTCCACTGCCCCTTCGCCTACGGCTTGTGACTGTACATTGACCGCGCGATCCTGTTCGCTTCATCCGTGGCAGCCTTCTTCTCATCTTCACCAGCTTCTCGCGCCTTCTGCATCGCCATCTTCGCCTCGTATAGACGACCTTCCATGTCAAATACCATCTTCTCTGTGTCTAACATCGTTTGTGTCGAGTTGTCATGCTTCAGCTTACTGGCATCGCCAGTGCTGGAGTACGTGATGCTAGTCAGACTGCTTGTTGAGTCAAGTCCTTCGGAGAGACGGATCAGTGCTGTTGGGGATGACGATGCGTATAGGGCATCGATGTTATGGGTAGCTGAATGGACGCGATGCGCTGTGTAGCAACTTTCCGAGCCTGCTGGATGATGGTGATATTGCCTGCAAAAATCGTCTCGCGCAGTCGTTGCGTCAAGATAGTTTTCTTCCGGTTGAGACAATATGCGCTGTACGTCTTTTGGTAAGGCCGGAAACCATTCAGCACTTTTCACCTCCTCGCCTAATGCGTAGAGCAAGTCTGCGAGAAATCTCCATACAGGTGTACTTGCTGACATCTCGGCTAGCAGTACCATGAAGTCTCTCTCGAAGTCCTTAGCCGTCACGCGAGCCAGCGTATTGTCCACGGGTGGCAGTCTACTTCCAACGAACACCTGCCGCCCACCAATATTTACGTAGCCATCGACAGGCTTACCCATATCTGCAAAGATGTCTTCACATCTAGCTTCTTCAGCAAACAGGAAGTGCAGTCGATCAGCCACCATATCGACGATCCAGTACACTTCCATCCACTGTGCGAAGAGCAAAAGATCAAGAAGTGCATCTACACTCCAGATGATCTTCTCCACACGTATTGCGCCATATCGATCGAACACGCCTGGAACAGGTTTCTTCGCGGACCAGAGATAGTGTGTCGGTAGCGCATTTGCGCGTTCCGGCGAGATGAGCTGGATGAAGATGTTTACTGTTCGTATAGTGATGTAATCTGGTACAGTGATGACGGTATCCCTGGGATCTTCTGCTGCTGTTCGAGCGTAAAATGGTGAGATGGAAAGCAGAGTGTTCGTGTCGACGTATTGTACATCTTCAGTTGCTAGGCTCAGTTCGTGTGGGTCGGAGAAGCGAAATGTGACTCTTTCGTCTGTGCGCTGCTGGAGGTGGAATTTCGCGCGGGTATTAGGCGGTATGTAATTTTCTTCCACGGTAGAGGGATAGAAGAAACTTGGCGGGAGAGTGGTAATTTTGGAAGTAGAGGAATGTTCATGACGGGCCGGCGGGCTGGACGATACAGGCGTCGGGAGTTTGTGGGCTGGCAGTGTCGCGACGGGGGTTTCCAGATGCTGAGTGGCAGATCCTCCTTGCGGTTCCGCGGTCTTGCCGCTTGGCATGACATTCGCGTCCGTTGCATCGCTTTCATTGTCATCTCCTTCAGAGTCGACTGCGTCTGAGCCTCCAGATTTTTCCTCTGCCCCAGTTTCTACTTGAGGAACTGGGTAAACGCACACCCCGACATATTCCGGGTTGTTCTTCAAAAACAACTTCCTCGCGGCTCCACATCGCTTACTCAACGTGTTATAGGCCAGTGGCTTCTTCAACTCATGGTCGAATCGTGCATTAAACTCTTCGGCCAGGACATGCCAGTCTTTGGGCCCAGTCGCGCCGGGAACCAGATTGTCGCGGCAGTGCAGGATGAAGAGATCTTGTTCGGATATCGGTTGATCGCGCGTGAGCCAGGGCCGTATCTGTAGGACAGAGGAAGCACTCGTGGTTTTAGCATCCCTATTACCGGCGACGTTGAGAGGTTGTCTTCGCGGCTCCTTTGTCGCTGCTACTCTCGGACGCTTTGGTGTCGAAGCAAGAACGTCATTCTGCGAGTCGGAGGCTTTACGTTTTGGTGTCATGTTGGTGGTAGGCTTTGAAAATTTGGTTTTCGGTAGTGAGGTTGGTGGCGAATGTTAGTTGAGAATAATCCGTGTAGGTTGAATCAATCAGGTGAGTGCTGTGATACTGAGAAAGTTTATTCTTATGGGCATTGGGTGAGAAGAGTGAAGTATTAATCGGACGTAGGCAGCTGTGACTGCTCGAAGCGTGGAGAAGGTGAGTGATGAGTGCCAGTTGGTAATGGCGATTCTCAGACCCCTGCTAATACTGCTGCCCTTACCAAGTGAAAGGTTTGGACATGACATCGATGAAGACGCATGCGAAGGGTACTTGGGAATTACGTCAGAGCGGAACAAGTGAACCGAAAATTTGATCGCGTACCAATATCGTTTCTACTTTCACTTCCGAACATGCCACAAGTGCTACTATCATTTGCATACTGAAAAGCCATAGTTGACGAGGTTGAATATAATCGTGGGCAGCGGCAATGGACACGTGATAATGTTGGATTTATACAAAACAGACACTCATGAAATGAGCATGGCGGATGATAGTTGGATGCGATCATTTATTTGTATTGATTCCTGATAACACGAAGCAAATAAAGCCCATATGATGCAAGCGATGAACGGAAATCCTTCCAATCATTGCGAATGGGTTTCCTACATGACAATCTCAACCAAGCTAATCTACATAGAAAGTATCTATGACTCCCAGAAGTCACCAGACAACCACCTGTTGAGCATCTCAAGCGACGCCTCAGGCTGGTCGTAAGGAACCATGTGGCCACCAGCGTGGAGCTTCATGAAGGTGAAGTTGCCACTGGACTTGACCTGGCCAACAGTCTTGCCGTCGCCGTCGATCTTGAAGTCCTCCATCTCGGCCTTCTTGAAGCCCTTGGCACCGGGCCACTCAAGCGCCTCAGTCCAAGCCTTGTTACCTAGCCAGTTGCAGATGTAGTCGGCGTCACCAGCGTAGATGAGGACGGGAATCTTCTCGAGGATGCCGGGAACGACGCGGTGGAAGGGCTTCATCCAGTCACCCTGGAGGAGGAAGTTGCGGTTGATGTCGAAGTTGCAAGACTCGTAGTTGGAGACCTCAGCGCCGACGGCCTTCATGACCTCCTTCTTGTTGAGGTAGCCCTGTATCCAGTCAAGCTCGTCGTAGCAGAGAGAGTTGCTGCCGCAAGGCTTGCGGACATCGTAGACGTTCTGGCCGGTGCGCTGGTAAGGACCGATCATAGCGTTGTTACAGTAGATCGAGGCAGGCACGCAGGACCAGACGGACTCGGAGTTGTAGCAGTTCTCAATGAGGCTGGCGCAACGGGGGTAGGCGTTGTCCATGGACTGGCACTGAGACTCATCAAGGACAGCGGGCCAGCCACCCTCACCGCAGGCCATGGGGCGGTAGTACTCGTACTGAGTAAGGCCATCGGTCAGACCGTTACCGATGAGGACGGACTGGAGGTTGATGTTGCGGTTCTTGTGGGACAGGATCTCGGAGGCAAAGACGGGGATGTAGTGGCCGGCGTACGACTCTCCTGAGATGTGGAAGCTCTGGTGAGAGTACTCAGGGAACTGCTTGAAGAAGAGGGTGAGCAGGGCGTAGATGTCCTTGCCTGCAGCGACAGTGTTGCTAACTGAGCCGCTCGAGTACGAGTATCCGACGTTGACGGGCTGGTCAAGGAAGATGACGGAGGCGTTGGCGTTCCACGAGTAGGGGTTGTGCTTGACCTTCTGGTCCTTGGTGATGGAAGCAGGCCCGAGCTCCATGAACAGACCAGTCAGCGAGGAGCAGCCAGGTCCGCCATTGAGCCAGAGCACTACGGGGTCATTCTTGGGGTCGTTGCGCGACTCGAAGAACCCTGGGATACGTTAGATACAGGCGTGTTTGTGGTGGTCATGCAGGTACTCACAGTAGAAGAGGTGCTTGTCCTCCTCATCGTCATCAAGGTAGCCGGAGTACTGCTTCACCTTGTCGACGCCGAGGACGCTGGGGTCGACCTTCTTGGCCCTTAGGCTGTACTGCTCGAGCTTGCCGTCGATCTCGCGCTCCTTCTCGCCGTTCTCGTTCTCGACCCAGACGCTCTGGATGTCGGCGCCCTTGACGATGTGGTCCCACTCGCTGTCGGCCTTGCGCGTGTGCGGCTTGGGCTCAGAGAAGAAGGCGGCCTTCTCAAAGCTCTCGGGGAACATCATGGCGACCTCGTCCCAGACGGCGCGAGCCTCGCCGGTGAGCGACTTGAGGCTCTCCTCGAGGTTCTGGAGAGGTTTGGTCCATGAGGACTCCTTGAGCTCGCTGAACGAGTCGGGGAACTTCAGGACCTGTTGCTGTTGGGTTCCAACAGCGGCCGAAGCAGCTCCAACAAGGAGCGCCGAGGCAGCGACCTTCATGATGGCGGTGCTGAGCTTCCGGAGCTCTAGCGGTAAATGAAGTAGATAGGAAGAGTGCCTCTACGTTTTAATGAAGAAGCAGGCGATGAGTGATGGGGGAGGAAGGATGGATGGAAGAGAGATGGGATGGGTGGAGTTAAGTCGAGCTACGGATAGCTCGTGTGGAGGAGGCGCGGCTTGTCCAGGCAACGGAGCATGACGCATCCCGACAGCTTATCAGAGTGGCTGGAGTCCAAGCTCTCCGGGGCCAGCATCACATGCCCGGCTTAGCGTTTCACGATAGCATTGATCGGCGCCTGTGGCAGGATACCAGACGGCCGGGGACTTGGATCATAGACATCATTACGCCAGTCGCCTCATTCCAGGCACCTTGAGATGGAAGCCGTGGCGAGATGCTGCTTCCGAGCTCTCTCTGCGGACCGGGAAGCTAGAGCCGGACCTGCATGCATGTGGTCTATATTGGGCTTAGCGCGCGTGGGATCCCAGTGAGTGAACCTGCGCATGTCATCGGCGGCAGACCCCACCAAAATGGAATGCAACTTTTACAACTTGCGCCAAACACCTACACTTCAGTTACATTATACCCATATCGACCCCCATAATCCGCCAAAATGCCTGTTGGAGTCTTCCAGCCGTCGAATCAGATCAGACTCACCAACGTCTCGCTGGTGCGCATGAAGAAGGGTGCGCAAACCCCGCCCAGGTCTATGTCTCTGTACACTAACGACCCGCAGGCAAGAAGCGCTTCGAAATCGCATGCTACAAGAACAAGGTCCTCGAATGGCGCAACAAGATCGAGAAGGACATCTCCAACGTCCTGCAGATCGAGAACGTCTTCCTCAACGTATCCAAAGGCCAAGTCGCGCCCAAAGCCGATCTCGAAAAAGCATTCCCCAAGAAGTCGCTCGAAGACATCATCACCGACATATTAGACCACGGAGAGCTACAGGTTGGCGAGAAGGAGCGCAACGCCGAACTGGAGAGAACCAAGAATGAAGTCATCGACATTGTGGCGGGAAAACTCGTGGACCCCAAGACGAAGCGCGTCTACACCACAGGCATGATTGAGAAGGCGCTAGATCAGCTGAGCTCGGCAGCAGCGACGCAACAAGGAGACAAGGGCGAGAGCAAGGAAGATGGTGAGGACAAAGGCAAAGCGAAGGAACTGCCCAAGTGGACCGGCATCGTTACGAACAAGTCAGCCAAGTCGCAGGCGCTATTCGCCATGAAGGCCCTCATCGCCCACCAGCCGATACCCGTCGCCCGCATGCAGATGAAACTGCGCGTCACCTGTCCGACGTCCGTCCTCAAGCAATCCATCAAGACCGCACCCAAGGCGCCAGCGGGCACTGAAGAGAAGGGAACTACTGGTACTGTCAAGGATGCGATATTAGCCTTCATGGAGAAGATCGAGAGTCAAGACACAATAGGCGCCGAGTGGGAGGCAGTGGGTCTCGTCGAGCCTGGAGCCTTCAAGGGCTTGAACGAGTTGATAGAGGGCCAAACAAAAGGAAGAGGCAATGTCGAGGTTCTCGAGATGGCTGTCGGTGCAGACGACTGAGTGGTGACACGTCTTGCCAGCACGCGTCGCGCGAGACGCTCGCCCTCACGTGTTGGGTTATCTGGACAGGAAGGCCAGTGCAAAAGGCGCTTCCATATACCCGCGAGGGGTAAGCACTCTGTTCTATGGACTGCAAGGAACAGGGCGACTGCAGTCCTCCTGCACGTCTTTCCAAATCCACAAAATGCCGCTTCGGGGTACACCACCAGGGGAAATGCGCTATACGCTGCCATCTGCCAGAGCGTCAGAGTCGGAGACGAATGCAGATCATCAGACCTCGCCGTAGGCACTGCACCATGATATGTAGTAGAGCAAGTGCATGGGTAGCGGCTTGTGGTTTCAAATGCATACGACTGTTATCCCTGTACCTATTCCATGCAAATCGTAAGCCTCACAAGACGCACCACGACTTCGCTTCTCATTCGCTGTGTCGTCATGTCTTCCCAAACTTCACCTCTTCAAACTGCTATCTGCAATGGTCTCGATGCATCGTCGCTGAGCCACTCGCTGCGGGACAGCTGTTCGAGAGCTGCATGATCTTGCATCCTCCCGCATGCAAATTTGCGTGGGGCAGTCCAGCCCGGGTACCGGGCCTCATGAACCTAAGCAAGGTATTTACATATCTGTGCAGTGTAGCAACCAGAAACTTGGTAAAACATAGTATTAGCATCTTTCGTAGCACTAAGAAGAACTAATTGCGAACACGAAGAAGAGTTCCACTTCATGATTGTGTTTTACACTGCATGTATGCTAATCGTAAGTTCGTAAATATGTCATCGTTAAGTTGTGCTTCGTGCTTCCTCGTTATCATCTGAACGACGCACCCATTGTCGCCGTGCGTTCGTGAGTGAGGGTCGTAAGTCGTAATCGTTACCATGCAAATGCCGTACCTGAAACATGCGTCGAGAACGGAGCGCCGGTACCTAACAAGTAAGAAATAGCGAAAGGAAAGACCGAGAGTTAATGAAAGCGCTCGCGTCCACACCGTACACTCCGGTTCATCTCAGATGACATCGAGTTCGCTCAGTGCGT